AGTTTAAACTTTATTGAGAATGAGAAAAATTCAAACATAGTGCTTCTGGTAGATTGGAATCGACAAGAGTCATTGTATCTAATCTCTCAGAATGAGCTACTATAAAACAGAAAAGAAACAAAAATGCGCTACAGCAGCTGCAGACATAAAAAGAAAGTTAATAGGTAAGTTAACATACTAAATAAGTGTAAAAGGGTATGCAGTATGCAGTACTGGAGAGCGCGAGTTAAATAAACCAAACGCATACTTATACGTAATTAATTATATCTCGAATCTACCACTATTTTCAATATAATACAATAGTTATTGTATGAAAATTCATTACTTAAAAGTAAAATAATTTTCAGAGAGATATCCACGCTGGGTATCAGATCGCCAATAGTCCTGGATAAATTAGCACGCTGATGATTGTAGAGGAATTTGAGCTAATTCTATGCACTGACGTATGCTGAATTTAATTCTAATATTTTCAGCTCAATAGCAAGTGTCATTATATTTTACTCTATAAGCTACGGTAGAGCAAGTAGCGTAACCATTGGCGCTTAATAGCGCCAACAGGAGCGTTGTTAAGGGCCGTAAGAATAAGGCAGAAAATTGAAAGCAGTCCGTGGACTGATGAAAAATTGCTGATTAAGAAGGTGATTTTATTGTCAAATACACTTTGCGACCAATGAAAAAGCGACTTTACTCAAAGATGAACGCAATCGGAAATAAATATTATTCTCAGAATGAGGGATGGGTCTTCTAAAATGAGCGTGATTTCGCAAGTTTCTGCGGGAAAAATGAAACATTTTTACGCGGGACGTGAAAGTCTTTCGCCGGAAAAAAAAGAACTTTTTCCGCCGCATTCGGCTGAAACGTTTTGAAAGTCTGAAGAACTATGTTCTTTTCTTAGGGAAAATTCCCACCGAGTTGAAGACATTCATGAGTGAAAATTTTCTACAGAATTCTTTTTCCGATGTAGACAAAATTGTTTATTATTCAAAAGCATTTGCAGGTCACGTGCTACTGTGCAAGAAGAGGTCACACTGCGATAAGAATCTGATTAAATAATTTAATCATCAGTCAGTTTTGGTTTCCATTTACCTCAAAAACATTAAAGGGAAAAAAAGTATAACCGATATATTATTTTATTTATGTTTTTTCCGTTCCGCTAAAGTTAACCAAGAAAAATTGCTTCAGAGTACTGAACACTACACTCGGATCCTCGTTGTGTCGTTATTAGTAGTCGATAACTTAGATACGCAACCGTATTACTAGTAAATCTTTGTTGAACTCCACTCATACGGCGTCCAGGGTCACTTGAAAGACCACACAGTCCGGAATAAATCAATGTCCAACTAGTGCCTATTGTTAACGAAGTAGTTGAATTACTTCCTTCTATAGTGATTGCAGTCGGGTCGCGATTTGGGTTATCGTTTCCTGTTATAAATACAAACGCTTTAAGAACAGATGGACCCATTGAAGGTGTAGTATAAAAGCCTGTGTTACACCCTTGGGTCGGGCTTGAGGTGGAAATCGTACCACTTCCAAAGTTTGTGTATTTTGTTAAATAATTATTGTCAATCGCATTCGACGGTATTTCTCCCGTATAAAAGTTACATGGATTCGTACCCGATATTACGCTTGGTGTACTATCACCACCAGCAGTTGTATTGCAAATTCCAAAAATCGGATCACCCGGTTGTGCCAGTTGAATCATACTCCCTTTAACATAAAAAATATTACTCGCAATTTCAAATCGAAACACTTTCAACTTACTTGTGGTTGTAGTTGTAGTTACAGTTGTAGCGGTAGTGGCTACAGAAGAAAAAAGAGTTTTCATTCTTATGGTGTTTCTTGGATCTTTTCTATTTCAAAATGGTTATATATGCAAAAGAATTTTCACATGCAGACTTTCTTCTATAAAATTCTCAATGAAGAAAACAAAGAAACAGCTTTTACTTGCCGAAGCAAATATCACCTATGGGAAAAATCTAGATACATTTCGTCTGTAATCGGGCGATACACGACTAGTTGCCATCGAGATTACTAGTTGGAAAAGGGACTTTTAACTAGCTGCTTCTGCTAGTGCATCTAGTAATAGTTAAATCGGTAGTTGCAAGTAGAAAAAATCTAGCAATCACCAATTACTAGATTTCCACTGTTATTACACAGTAGTTGCAATCGAGTAAAAATCTAGTAATCTAGATGACTCGGGCGATATCAGACTTTTTTTGACGCTGTAGTTGCCGTTGTTTACGATGTTGATGTTGTTGTACTCGGAGACGTTGTAGGCGCTTTATATAAATGTACACAAAAAATTCTTCGGAATGGCTATTGCCACTCTCTGAGGGTGTCAACAGGAGCCGTCGTATTTTTACTTTTGGGCGTAAGTTCCAGTACACTTTATGAATTTCTTAACATTGAAGTTCTAAGATTGTTTTTCCTAAGGCACAACT